CAAAAAAAAAAAAAAAAACACGCAAGCGTCGGTTCGTCGTTGTGCCTTCCCCCCCAGCAAAAATCAAACTAGGGGCCAAAAAGAAAAAAATGGCGGGCCGTGCTCTATCGCGGCACGAAACGAATTTTATTTTTTTTAAGGCCTCGGAATCGTTCCAGGGGTCGATTCTTTGTCCTCCTTGGCCATTTCTTCATCGTTGCAGGCCCACCGTCTTCGAGGAAGCAGCGCCATTGTCTTTCGCCTTGGTCGTTAGTTGCGAGCGAGCGCCGACCTCCCCTTGCTTCAGCCACCATCATCGCACCCCGGAGCGACCATCAGCTCAGACTTCCACCATCCTCCCTCGATCAAGGTGAGTCTCCACCATCCCTCCTGCCCTCCCTCAAACTCACCTTCGCTCCCTCCTCCTCCTCCTCCTCCTCCTCCTCCACATCTTCCCCTACCTCCTCCTCCTCTCCTCCTCCTCCTCCTCCTCCATCTCTCCTCCTCATCATCACGATATTGTCTTTTTCTTTTTTTTTTAAGTATGGAATCTTGTACTCGGAGCTTGGATAATATCTCGGACTCTCTCCTCATCACCTCTGCCTCCTCCTCAGCCCCTCCTCCATCTCTTCTCCTCGTCACTTCCTCCTCCACCTCTCATCATCCTCGCCTCCTCTTGCATCTCTCCTCCTCCTCCGCCTTCTCCTGTGCTCCTCCTCCATCCCTCCTCGTCAAGGTCTCGTCACCTTTTCTTATGTAAACTTCAATTTGTGTCGGTATCACCTCCTCTACCCTTCCACCACCACCCTTCCTCCTCCATCTCTCCTCCTCCTCCTCCTCCATTCCTCCTCGCCCCTCTTTCCTCCATCTCTCCATCTCTACTCCTCCATCTATTCATCTTCCTCCTCCATCTCTCCATCTCTCCTCCTCCACCTCTCATCCTCCTTATCACGACTTCGTCACTTTGTTTTTTTTTTCATGGGAACTCCAAACTTCAAAGTTCGAACTGTGATGGTATCTTTTCCTCCTTATCACATCGTCATCCTCCTCCTCCACCTCCTCCTCCTCCTCCTCCATCTCCATCTCTCCTCCTCCTCACCTCCTCCTCCTCATCTTCCTCCTCCATCTCCTCCTCTTCCTCCTCCATCTCATGTACTCCTTGTCATAGCCTCGTCAGTTTGTTTGTTTTTTTTAATGAAATTTTGAAGATCGGACTCGGACGGTACTTCCTCCTCCTTGTCACGTTGTCATCCTCCTCCTCCTCCTCCTCCATCTCTCCTCTGCCATATCTCTTCCTCCATCTCTCGTCGAGTCACCCTCCTTGTCACGGCCTCGTCACTATGAAAACTTTGAACTGCAATGGTGTTCCTCCTCTTTGTGATATCCTCCTCCTCCGCCTCCTCCTCCCCCTCCCCCTCCATCTCTCCTCCTCACCTGCTCCTCCTCCTCCTCTCCTCCTCCTTGTCCTCTCCATCCATCCCCATCGTCAAAGTTAAATCAGCTTTATTATGTATCTCCTCCTCCATCCCTCCCTGCCCATCTCTCCTCCTCCTCCTCCTCCATCCCTCCTCCTCCTCCTCCATCCTCCTTATCACGTAGTCCTCCTCCTCCTCCATCTCGTCGTCTTCCTCCTCCATCTCATCTCCTCCTTGTCACGGCGTCACTTTGTTTTTTTTTTTTCAATGGAACTTTGAAGATCAAACTCCGTTATATTTCATCCTCCTTGTCACGTTGTCGTCATCACTTTTTTTTCCATGGACACTTGGAAAAGCAATTGTTTCCATTTGTGAAAGGCAATTAATCCCTTTTTCTTTTTTTACGTTTATGTTTTGCAAAACCAGTGAAGTGCTATTTTTGTGGGGTCTTTAAGGGGCTAGGGGGCTACGAGGGGGTGTAACAAGGCTGATTTTATGGGTTGTCAGGGGGTGATGGAGCTAGGAGGGGGAAGGGGTGGGGAACATGTCGGAGTGAACAAAGAGGCTGATTGTGTGGCTTCTCTCCTGCGGTTTTACCTGTGTGCAGGTCAAGATGACAAGCCGCAAGTGGGGTTGCAGGGAAAGATGCAAGTGAGGTTGCCAAATGGTGGATCTGCAAGTATTGTGACACCAGATTCTCAGGCACCCTGAACCGTGTCATTCCCACCTTGCAGTGCTTATGAAAAAGGATTCCGCGCAGGACCGGACGGGGGAGTGGACATCTCCGCACAGTTCGCACGAAACCGTATCAGACGGGAGATGGACGCACCGGACAGCACGCGGCCCCGCACGTCCCTGTACGGTACGGGTACGGAGGTTGGGGAGGTCCCGCACCAGACCCCGTACAGCGCACCGGATGATGCGCCGTACAGTACGGTTGCAGGTATGCTATGAACTAAAAGAGTGCACTTTGCAAAACAAACGATAAAAATAAAAAAAAAGACATACATGAAGAGCACACTGAAACCATTCATTCATTTTTCTCATTTTCTCCCCCTTCACTGTGCATCTAATGTACAAGGCTCGCCACGTTGATGAGGTTGAGAGCGAGCTGCCTGCATCCCCGTTGATGTATACATACTCACAGCTTGCAACTTGCATGTGAAACATGCACTGATGGTACACAATAGTGCACTGGATGTGCATGGCGCACATTTGGATGCGCAGAGCAAAAATAGGGGGTCGTGAAATAAATGAGAAGGGGCAGAGGGTGCTGGCACCCCCCACACCTTCCCAAAAGAAATTGTGCTCATTGTGTGAGTGACACTGAGTGTCAGAGGAGGGCGGCAGAGAGAGTGTGAGAGGTCTGTCAAATGGGGTGTTTGTAAGGGCCCTACTGCACAGGTGCACCAGAAGTAGCTGTGCACAGTTCTAATTATAATCCCCCCCATTTCTTGTCTTTTCTCCTTTCTGTGAGGAACGTGTCCTCAGGGGCCCCTAGACAACATGCATATGTTTTGGCTGTGGCCCCCAGCAAGCCTCGTGCCGGGCCTAAGTGAAGGCGGCCCTGAATATCCACGAGAGGCCCTTATCTCAGCAATTTCCAATGTGGGTCTCAGACAGTTGCTGCACGCCAGTTGGTTGTGCAACCGGGACCTCACCCTGGGCTCTTCCAGAAGAAGCAGCTGCGCCACGCAGTTGAGCCCAGGACGCAGGTGGTTGCGCCCTGGGCACACCCAGCGTGAGGCCGACACATCACGAAGTGGTCACGGGCCAATGAGAAAGCAGCATTGTCATCACATCCAGCCGCGGGCCAATGCAAACACAGCAAACATTCAGAGGCTGGGTCATTGTGGGTGTGCCCAACTGCGAAGGGCCCAGGCCCCCAACTGTACACTTGGGCCTGGGCGCAGACACTGGGGCCCGACCGGAAGCTACTGGAAACTTCCATGGCCAGGCCCAGTCAGACGAGCAGCAGCAACCTCTCCCATATAGGGAGGAGGCAGGCCAGGACAAGGCATTCTGGCCTAGGCAGGCAATGCGGACATGCTGCTGCACTCACATGCAAGTGGCTGCATTGCGCATCTGCTGGCTGGGGCGCGCACGGGCGCTGCGAGGTGAGGGGCGCTGCTGGGCAGCGGGGCGCTAGTGGCCATAGCCGGGCTGCAGGGCGCGAAGGCAGAGGAGGGCGACAGGGGTCTTCGGGAGGCGGCGCAGAAGTGGACAGGGGGTGATGAGGGAGACAAGAGTACGTACCTGGTGTATGTGGGGAGGTCGGCATTGGTGTCGATGACATGTACATTGGTCTTCAAAGTCGAAGTGAGCCTGTTGCATGAACGTAGGTAGGCTAGGTAGGATAAGTAGAGTAGGCTGGGCGCCGGGCGCCAGACAGAGAGGAGCGACATTGAATACTGCGTTGGTGTGGCCTGAGGGCTTGAACATTGGCTCACGAGTTCATTGTATTGCTCTTATTTGGATGGAATCTTGGTGCATTTGAGCTCTCTGCTTGTTACATGACTATCTGGACTTCTGCGTGATTTTGCAACTTGGTTTTCTGTATATCGCTCTCGATCATATTCCTTGCATTTCCGCATACAGTTCAACAAGCAGCTCTTTTTGGTTATATTGATATGCACATATCTATATCTATATATATGGACTCTGAACCAGCAGTGTTTTCCATCCGGTGATATTCTGCTTTGATTATCGTCACACGTACCCTGAGTGCAGTGGTTGGTGTCCACCTCAGGGTATCAGTTGTCGGGTAGTTGTTGATGCTTAACTGCAACCAGGATTAAGGTGGATTACCGCTCTCAGTATCATTGGTTAGGGGGCTCTGCAGACTGTAGAAGATTCTGAGCAACGTGTGTTTAGGGCACCATACCCTGCTGTGCACGGACGGCCTCGAACCGGCACCCTCCGCCACAGGCACGAAGTATCATAACCACTACAACCATTGGAGGTGTTATAAAAACTGGATCCATACCGGTCGTGATATCCAGCCCAACCCATGGGCTGTAGCGTCCTTGAACTCACAACACACCCAACACACACCACACCACGGACACGACAATCAACGCACACTCCGCTCGAACAACATGTAATCCACCACCGCTACCAAACGCGGTCACACACAGCAGGCCAACTGCCCGCGGGTTCCACGGGTACCTCACAGTGATTCTGAGCAATGTGTGTTTAGGGCATCATACCCTGCCGTGCATGGACGGCCTCGAACCGACACCCTCCACCACAAGAATGAAGTATCGTAACCACTACAACCGTTGGAGGTGTTATAAAAACTGGATCCATACAGGTCGTGATATCCAGCCCACCCCCAGGGCTGTAGTGTCCTTGAACTCACACCACATCCAACACATACCACACCGCAGACACGACAATCAATGCACACTCCGCTCGAACAACACGTAACCCACCACTGCTACCAAACCCGGTCAGACACAGCACACTGTAGAGGGTTCAGCCTCCTGATGAGTTGGTGAAACTCCTATGTACCGAAATGAGGGCAACCATAATACCTTTCCAAACAAGAACAAAGGAGGCGCAGATGGAGGAGGAAGAGGGGGCAATGCCAACAGGAATACCAACCAGTCGCTTTTGAACGTGGCCTGAATAGTAGGTTTCTGAAATCAAGAACTGGTTCCTTCTCCCCAGCCCATCTGGTCAAAACAAGAAGATATGGAGAGAGAGAGAAAGCCGGACAGGGGAGGAAGAGGGAGGGAGAGGGAGGGAGAGGGAGGGTGAGAGCACAAGAGAGAGAGAGAGAGAGAGAGAGAGAGAGAGAGAGAGAGAGAGAGAGAGAGAGAGAGAGAGAGAGAGAGAGAGAGAGAGAGAGAGAG